TTGTGTGTGTGTGTGTGTGTGTGTGTGTGTGTGTATACACGTGTGCCTCCATTTAGTTTTATGTTTACGCCCATATGCTGTAGTACGAGTAATATTATTTTGTTGAATGATGTTCTTTTATGCTTACGCATACTGTGAGTACAGGTAGAAACTACACCATACAAACACACACACACACACACACACACACACACACACACACACACATACGCACATACACACACGCACATACACACACGCACGAACACACAAACACACACACACACAAACACACACAAACACACACACTCACAAAACACACACACATACGCACAAAATTGTTCTTGCCTGTATACCCGTATGAGCGCACGCATAACAATAACCTGCGTTCAAGTTCGAGTGCCCTTTACATAACATGCCTATCCCCCGAATCTTTAGAGGCAGAAAGTGACAGTGTGTCAAGCTTTATTCAATCTTGCGGTGTCTGGGGAGGTCTTTAAGAGGTTGACGCCAAACAATCGCTGACAGGTTCTGGGGGTTGAAGATCGGCCCGATAGCGCGCGTCCCCCGGACTTTAATGGGCTCGAGACAGGCCCAGAATTTAGGGCTTTACACGTCAGGTCGTGAGTGTCACTCGGACTACGGGTTAGAGTTTAGGATTTGAGTTGCTTGGAAAGGGAAAATGGGGTGAGGGAAAGGGAAGCTTTTTTGCCTCTAGAGCAAGTGTGATGGCCTGGCTGGGTGGACGGGTGGAATGTTGTATGTTTTCTGGGTATCATTTACACCCTCAATCCAGTTCTTTCTTGGTCTTTCTCTCGCCCTGTACCTTGATATTTTGGGGTAATAGTATAGATTGTAGAGGTTTCGAGTGATGGGTGAGGTTTGAGAGGAGTCGTAGAAGCTGGAGGGACGTTTTATTACGAGTTAGGTGCAATGATAATAATTTTTTTGGCAACAGTTTTTAGAGGTGAAGGAGTTTAAATGTCTTGGCAGCACCTTTTCCGAAAACAGGTCCAAAGACAGAGAAATAGAAATGCTAACTCAAAAAGCCAATTCTTTCACATACCAACTCGCGCCCCTTCTATCTCATCCAAACATCTCCATGGACTCAAAATTGTGACAGCTTATCACTTCAATACAGTGGAGTCCACTTATAACGAGTCCCGAAACAACGAGAAGTCTGTTATAAAGACACTGTTCTAAAACCCCGGTGTTTTTTTCTTCTTTATCTTTGTAAATACAATACTGCTATTGCGCAATCAGACCGTCACGCGAGTCGTTTATAACGGAATATTGCTGCTGCTGTGCACAGCGCACATACCAATTAAGCATTATTATAAAACCTTGCCAGTTAAGAAAGTTGTCGGTGATCCAGCGAAACAAAGAATGGGAGAGCCCACGCCAACCAACAATGAAGGCCGGAGCGAATGAGTGGGGAGGGTGTGGCTTTCGGAGACACAAGCAGAACGCATCGCGTGATAGGCCAGCCCAGTCTAGATTATCTACTACTAGGCATATCGTGTGTCTCACTTCTCTGGTGCAGGATGGATAGATCACAAGTCTGTGATAGATGGATGGAATGAATGTGTGACGTGTGGTGGGGTAGGGGACAACACTGCGGGCGAGTTAGCCTAGAGCCAGAGCCCCTTCTTTCTGATCGCCAAGGCCGATTTGTCAACATTGCTAGTGCTAGAGAAAGAAACCTGATTCGATTTTTGATCAAGTAAGACCTTGAGATCATGTTGAACAAATCATCATCAAGGGAAATACAAAAAGGAATAAACAGAACGCCAAACTAATAGATTAGGCCTACTTTACTATTTTCCCTTGAATTTATTACTGGATCCCTTGTACCGAGAATCCTGCTATAACGGACATTTCGCACCGGTCCCCTCCCTCTCGTTATAACAGGATTCCACTGTATTAAGTAGTGCTAACATTATGCTACCAGTGCCAGATCTGTCCATTTAGTCCCATGAATACAAAATCACTGCATGCGAGAGGAAATGTCACAAGACGAGACAGGCAGAGAAATGAAGAAGTAAGAGCAAGTGTTGGCACTTAATCCTGCCTACATCCTGCCTACATTTCATAGAAAGACAGAGAATAAAATGGCCTGGGCACCTTTTACGAATGTCATCTAGCCAGCCAGCCCCGAGAGCCTATAATAATAAATAGAATTTTGCAAGGATGGCACGCATTAGAATATGTAGTGTTTGTGCAATGAGACGTCTGTCTTGATATAATTCAATAAAAAAATATAATGCGACTTTGTGTTTGTGTGTGTTTATGTGAGTATGTGTGTATGTGTGTGTGTGTGGTGTACTGTATGTGAGTGTGTGTGTGTGTGTGTGTGTGTG